TACACAGAACATGTAGTCATTCTTTTTGGTGGAAATCCCTTAAAGGAACACGCAGGGCACCATCACCACTTTATCAAAATGGTGCTGTTATGGTGTCAGGAGATCATTGGCGCTGGCTTACCTTCTTTGTATTAACCCCCGAGTATCCCCTCCTGTGCCGTTTCGCTCTGCCTGTCCAACATTCGTTTTCTGAAAACCTTAAAGCTCTAGGCCAATCAGTAGTTCCCCATTTATAAAACAAATAGCTAAAGAAACAAATGTTTCTGCAAATCTTCAAAACGGAAGCCTCGGGCTGCTGTGGGTAGAAGTGCTACTGATTCGCTTAGAGCTTGGATTGACAAGGGTATTGGTGACGTTCTAAACCAATCCGCTGCACCGATATACTTTGGGGTCTAACTGTTTAATGGTTTAATCCCTAAAGATAAGCCAGCGCCAGGGCACCCCTGGATCTCTATCCCCAACCAAACTGAATGTACTTGGAATTCTGTTATCTATGACTTCATTTCTCCCTCTTTGTCACTTGCATTAGTTATTAGATGAAACATTGACAATTATCACCAGCATTATTTACAAGATTAAGCACACATTTTGGCCTCTTTTCCCTTGCTGTGCCATCTTTTTCATTCCAAATGCCAGCTGTTCAGATGGTGCTGGAGCTGCATGAACCCCTATATTGTAAATTTAAAAAAAAAGTGCCAACATGATACAGGCTGGGATTATCCAATAAACTCTATTTACACAGGTAGGTGTGTTATACGAGATCAAACGTGACCTCTACCTGCACTTTACTTTAGTTATTTATTACCTTTAAACGAGGTGATTCATAAAAAATCCTAAACGCCAAAGTACTAGTATTGCAGAATATTTAACCATTTAAAGTGTTAGTGGAAAGTGTTGCATAAACTTGAGTGAGAGAGGTCAGAGAGAAAAATGGAAAATGTTTTTGGCATTGAAGAAAATGGTGATTTTAATATTGTTAAATAATTGAACAGCTGTGTTTTGATTAACCCATTAAAGCCTTCGTACTATACCTGAATCCAACACCTGCTTACAAACTGCGCAATGCTGATTGCTTTATGGTCGGATGTGATTAGCGAATTTGACCCCTTGATCATATGTAATTATTTAAGTGTATTCCACCATTCCGCAATAAATCCTTGGAATGTCCATTGAGGACCGTTATTGATGGTTAAATAAAGTAGTGCAAAGGTGATTTATAGGAACTGCACTCAATCCCAGCAGCCACCGGTGCTCCGGAGCAGGACCAGCAATCCCAACACATTAAGGCAACAAAGAAAATCCCCATGCACTCAAAGTGTTAACCACAGCCAGTTTTAATGAAACAAAAAGGCAGCAATGTTTCGACCTACTAAGCTTGAAAAAGACATCTTGGTAGGTCGAAACGTTGCTGCCTTTTTGTTTCATTAAAACTGCCTGCGGCTTTAACACTTTGAGTGCCTGGGGAATTTCTTTGTAGAGTTAAATAAAGTAGAGCAGATTGAGCAAAGAGGTGAATAAAGGGACATTATAGGCACTAATTACTTAATCTCTTTGTCTGGAGTCCCTCTGTTCGGTATTAAACCATTTTCAAGTGGTGAAACATTTAATATGGATATCGTTACACAAAGCTCAGGGCTAATTGGGCTAATGCCTCCATGTTAGACTTAGCAGTGATTGGTACCAATGATAGGCTGAGATCGTCAGCTGAAAATGCAACTCCCAATCACTGGTATCAATTGGCACTGCATTCATCCTTTGCATCCACTACACACACACCACTGCATCCAATACACACATACCCACTGCATTATCACCACCATTATTTACAAAATTGAGCACACATTTTGTCCCCAGTTCCCTTGCAATGCCTATACATACACTCTGCATCCAAAACACACTCCACACACACACTACATTCACTCACATACACACACTGGATCCTTGTAGGCTGACTCAGGATGGGCCCTGTGTGTGGACTCGAGGAAAGGTCCATGAGGCCCAGACCTTGAGCTGTGTAAGGGGCCCCCAAATGTCTGATGGTAGCCATGTTTATATCATCTATACTTTTACACATCTATAAATATAGATTTTTAGATTAAATATTTTATTTTGTAACTGCTCCTCAACTTTTCCCCTCTATCGGTTGCTTTTTCTCATTTGAACTGTGAACCAAATAGTGAGAAAAAGTTCCTATCCGTGTACTGCAATATATATACACAATACTTATACTATGTATATATTTGGCAGTATATGGATTGGCCCATTTCTGCAGGAGGCAGCAAATTTGCAAAAAAACTCAGCATTTCTAGTAGAAACATTGAACGGCCCATTACGCCAAAACTATTTCAGTCATCCCTGCCCAAAAGTAAACATGCTAGAGAAGGACTTCCTATATTTAGCCCTGTCAGGTAAACACTGCATTTCATGACTAAGATCACTGTATTCTAATCTAGAATTCTAAAATCAGAAACGATGTAAAATGTTTCCAAGGGGTTTATTACTGTATAAATAATTCTGTTTTATGCATTTTTTTTTTGGCAGAACGAACCCATAACTTCACTGGGAAAAGAGATGCTTCTATATCCAGTTGACCAGCGCAGTAATCCCCCTGACTATAGCGATCTTCTAGAATAAAAACGTTCTCACCCACTGCCCTCATTTGCTGAAGAGAACAAAATCAATTAATGCCATGTCTGTTTGTGACGTCAAGACACATTTTAGATACGGAGTTATAAAGTAACTGTGCTGTCTGGTGTGAACAAATCACCCAAATGCAGAAACACCGCCATTTGGACAATTAATATATGACTGTATGACACAGAGAGCATCCAAAGTCACTGACTCGTCTCTAGAAAGACTCAGTCCACAGAAAAACATTATTTTCTAAGGTAATGAAAAGTGATCCTTTCTTTGCCAAAAACGTCATCACAACCGGTAAAAGGGTTAAATCTTTTTTTAATATGGGTAAGTGTAGTAAATGTTGTGTTAATAAGAATTTATTAAAGTACTTTCATTTAAAATAATGTATGTAATAAAAATGCAATGCCATCATGTCTCTATGTATTTATTGCTTGACTGCATGACCAATGTCATTCTGATGACTGGAGTGTACCCATACACCAGAGTGTGAATGTGGACCAAGTACTTGAATATCAAGCAGATTAAATGCAGCTTAATGTAGTTGTATAGCATGTCCCTGCAGGCATTTACATTGCTCCCTAGGGACACCTCCAGTGGAAGTCACACGGCCACTAGAGGTGCTTCTTGGGTCAGTGCTGCACAATGTGCATCACTGATATTCAGTGTCTCCACCCTCTGCATGCAGACACTGAACCTTCCCCATAGAAATGCATTGATTCAATTTAAAGGTAAGCTTTAACACTATTGAAGGAAGATTGGCCACCTAAATAGTGATTCTAATATTATAGGGTCAGGAATGCACATTTGTATTCCTGCCCTATACTGTTCCTTTATGAAAGAGAGTGGCTGCACTGATCTTATGAATCTGACCTAGTTCTCAACATGTGGGCATGTATGATATGTTAACACATTTGCAGATATTCACCCACCATCTTTATGATGTGTATTTTTTTACATATAATTACCCGTGTACACACTTTTGTGCATGCACATATACACACACTTTTGTGCATGCACACATATACTCCATGAATTACAAATGGAAATAGCACTGTACCGTAGGTGGAGCAGTACCAGATTTGCTTACCTATGCATATATCTTTTCTGGATACGAGTACAGATTTACGGTGACCAGAAAAAAGCCCACATGAAAATCGCACACAGAAAAAAAACCATGGTCATAAATGCCCATACGGAATAAAGCCCACACGGAAAAATACCCACACTGAATAATATGCACATATAGTAATTTTCCCACTTACGAGCATGAATAGGTAAATTACCTAAATTTTATTTTGTTATCGATATCTTATTAAAATCTCATTCACATGCAAATATTTGCATTGTGATTTTATAAATGTATAATTAAATAATAATTAATTAAGCTGTGTTATAAGTATACTAATTCACTGCTAAACAAACCGTGGCCTGTGTATGTAGAGGGGTTTAACCCCTTAAGGACAGAGGCAATTGTACAAGTTCTGACCAGAACAAAACCTAGAATTTGAGCTATATGTCTGTTCAACCACAATTTACCTCTTTTATATTAAGTGTATCCACTTCCTGGATTGAAATGGACCTTTGGTCCGGTATCTGACGCTGGACGTCCTCATACTCTGCATGAGGATACCCAACGTCAGATTTTTTTTTTCCCCATAGTAAAGTGATGATTAAATGCTTTCTGATGGGGAGGTCTAATGTGTGCGCTGCATTGGCCGGACATGCACCTTAGCGCCCACTTGTCATAGGCCGTCAGAAGGGGTGGAGCTTCGGCTCTGGGATCAGGTAAGTAAATAAGGGTTTTTAACCCTTTATTTACTGAGAGTCAGGGGGAGCATTGGTGCTTTGTATTCCTGGCACTATAGTATCCCTTTAATTATGTCACTTTGTTTTGGTCACATATGCTATAGTGTATATGTGTGTATGTATGTATACATATATATACATATATATATAATTATTAATAATCATTGTCTTAAAAACTTATAGTTGTGCTGGATAGGAGCAATAAGATTGCATTCTAACAGATGGACTTCTAGGTTTAAAGCATATACACTGATTAGCCACAACATTAAAACCACTGATCGGTGCAGTGAATAACTTTGATTATATCGTTACGGGGGGGCGGCAAATTTTTCTTTGGCCTAGGGCACCAAAAATCCTTGCACCGGCCCTGGATGCACTATGGGAAGAAGGCAGGCTGGGACAGGCAGCGTTATGCTCTTAGTAATGTTCTGCTTGGAATCCTTGGGTCCTGGCATTCATGTGGATGTTACTTTGACATGTATTACCAACTTAGAGGTTGTTGCAGACCATGTACACTCCTTCATGGCAAAAGTGTTCCCTGATGCCAGTGGGCTCTTGCAACAGGATAATGCAGCCCACCACACTGCAAAAAATGTTCAGGATTGTTTTAAGGAACACGACAAAGATTTCATGGTGTTGTCTTGGGCCCCAACTAGATCTTAATACCACTGAGCATCAGTGGGATGTGCTGGAACAACAAATTCCATCCATGGAGGCCCCAAGTCGTAACTTGCAGGATTTTAAGGTTTTATTGCTAATGTCTTGGCGCCAGATACGATAGGACACTTTCAAAGGCCTTGTGCAACCATGACTTGACACAACTGTTTTGGCAGCACGAGTAGAACGTGCACGATAATCGGCAGTGACCTTAATATCTGTGTATATTAACATTGTGCTATGAATCGCCAATAGGAAATAACCTAAAGAGTCAATTATAAAGAACTTGTAAACCATACATTTGGGAGATGATAAATCTATTTTCTTGTGTATAAAATAGTGAATATAAATAGTCATGGCAATAAATAAATATTAGATCACCAGTGGGATTTGACTATGAATGATTTTTAAATCTTTATTTTATTTTTTTGTGAATGTCCTTTTTTTTTTTTTTTTGCCCCATTTTACCCTTTCTTTTATTTTTAATATGGTCGTGCTACTACAGGGTCCAACATACTGAAGTATGGAGATACCTGAATTAGCAGATACAGTGTTTGCTTTCATAACGAGTGATAGTGGTGCCCATACTACAAAAGGTGGCTGGGGATTATGACTACAAAGAAAGGTTTAGTGGTGAGGTTTTAGATAATCCTTTATAACATGCGGAGAGCAATGACTTCATTGAAATGAATTGTTTCATAACACCTTCCTCTACCATACATTGCTCATCGGTTGCTACTGGAAGAATTAATGCGGTTGCATACCTTGCACCATTTTCTCTGGGTGTGAATACATAAGCAAACCACAGTCATGAGGAACTCACATCTGACTGATCTGTGGTTAGACTGATTAAAGCACTTGGTGCAGTGTTGAGCTGAAAACACGGGTAAGCGGAAGGCACTAGCACGTAAAGCTCGGATTATATAGACAGCAGCCTGTCACGGTTATTCACTAACGTGAGAATTCAGAGTCAATTTCAAATGTAAGGCCAATATAGATTTATTGGAAATGTCTCCAAGTTAGCAATGCTTCCTGTTAGTGCCATCTAAAATTTGAAATGTTACGATAAGGCAGCACCGGCCCGTTGACCAACAGGAGGCGGGCGCCCAGCACTCTCTTTACTGCCAGTCACTCCACGTAGTATGGTCAAACTGCTGCCCCTCTCTCCAGCCCTGAATCTGGCTGTGGTCCATGTCGGAGGATCCATAGAGCGTGCAGGGATACAAAGCACATCATTTCCCCGTGCCCTGTGTACCACAGGGGACGGCTAGCGCCTTTATAATGGGACTGGACTGAAAATCTGAATATATTATTATTGAATTGGTAAGGCAGTGGTTGAGTGACACCCAACAGAGTATAGTTAATAGAGTATATTCAAAAATACACTAAAGGGGGTGTGTAAGACACATAAGTCAAATTAGTAAATTGCAATGCATCCTTGTAGCCAAAAATCTTCGCACAGGCCCTGTGCTCGTGCTACATTTTGTTTTCGGGACAGTTCCCTAGTGTCTCTAAAAGTAGGATACCAGGGAACAAAGTCAAGACAGGGCCCTGGCAGTTACAAAAATCCCACAATATTGACTTACACATTTGTATGATCTCATTGTGCTATTTATTAGAAAAAGCCTTTGCCATTGTTGTTCAGTTGCCTTTTAACCTCTCCTGTGATGAAATTGGAATGTAGTATAACTACCTACCTGGAAACCAATTCCTGATCACTAATTAACCTTAATCATTGATTTTCTTTCTGGTATTTTATGTTTGCTGGCAGACACTGAAAGTGACATCGGTTATACAAATAAAAGAATGGACGGTAACCTCTTCTAATAGTTAGCAAATTTAAAGGGACGCTCAGAGCATTATAATCACAACAGTTTAATTGTTATTGTTTAATGCATGTTTGGGTGCTGTTCCTACCATCACTCAAAGTTCAATCTCCTTCTGATGCTGTTCTACATAATAAAAGCTTTATCAGGGCAGCTGGTGAGGATTTTGGATGGCAAAGAGGAAGACTGGACACCGGCTGCCCTGCGGCTCAAAAGGTGACATGATTCTGCTTTTTCCAAAACGTGAAACATTGACCGCCCAGCATCTGCCACAAAGTTTAGCTGCCTTCACCTGCCCATCTCTGCTTCACCTCCTCTAAAGCTGCCACCACACTGGTAATTCCAGCACAAGGAAACCATATGTCCAGCTACCCACATGGTTGTCCTAACTGGGGAAGTGACCACAACCACTAGCTGCACAATTCCTACACTTTTTTTATTTAAATTTGTATTTTATTGGTGTTTTCACAACGTAAAATACATCTGGTACACAGTATGAAAAGTTATAAAGTTTACACAGCAACTCTAATGAGTTGAAATAACGATAGGGTAACATGTGCACTAGTGGCTGATATTTGGATCGCTGTGTGGTGTTGTTTATATTAAGCTATATGGGTTGAAGAGCAGGAGTACCTCTAATGCGGTCTCTGCTTGGCCCCTCCATTATATCATGGGAAGTTATCTCTGTGTTTAGGTCGTTGAGAGGGTTTAGCTACTGCTTACCAGGCATCAAATGGGTACGTATTTATGAAGTGTGAGCAACTATTGTGTGTCTCGCTTCTAGTTACTGGTAAGGTAACCTCGGAGGGCCTCTATGAGTGTGATGTGTCTCCAAGTGGCGTGGTTTGGCTAGGGGTCGGGCCTGGGGGTTTAATGGGTGAACTCTGTTGGGTCCCTGTGTATCTATTTTCGACTTCTGGGCTTCCACTGGGATCTTTGCGTTCAGTTTCAGTCTTTGGAGGAAAGTCTCTTTGTCCTCAGGAGAAGAGAGGGTGAGTATGTCGTTTCCTTGTGTTACCTGCAGGGAGCCATCCACCCCCCACCGATATCTGATCAACGCCTCTCTCAGCTGTCTGGCCACCGGTGTTAACTGTCTCTTGACTGTGAGGACGGCAAAAGGGATGTCCCCGTATATGGCTATGTCATAGCCTTCGAAGTGTATGGTTCCCAGCTCTCTTGATTTGGCCATAATCGCCGATCGAACTGCAATGTCCTTGGTCGCGGCAATTATGTCTCTTGGTGCATCTGTAGGGGCAGCTGCGGCTTTGCGGACCCGGAATGCTGTTGTTAGTGCCTCTGAGCCTGTGTTGCCTCCTATTCCCAGCGAGGCAATGAAGCGTCGGAGGAAGGGCATTGTTGCATCGCCGTCGACGTGCTCTGGGATGCCGCGGAGGCGGATATTCCTCCTTCTGTGCCTGGACTCCATCACTAACATCGACTTGGTGAGTTTCTGTACCTGCTCTGTTAATTCTTGCAGATTGTTGTGGTTGTCATGCACTTTCTGGTCCCTAGCTACTTCTTTTGTTTCGATCTCTGTGACCCGTTGTTTGAGGGTCCCAATCTCCGTGCGCGTGTCTAGGAGGTCAGCTTTCCACACACGTCGCATGTCCAGCAGGAGATTTTTAATGTCTCTCTTTGTTGCCGGCGAAGAGTCTTCATCTGACTCTGACTCATTAGAGGGGGTCCCCTCCGATTGTGAGGCCGGGGCTTCCTCCTCCTCCTGATAGTTCTCTAGTGCCTCATCCTCGCTAGGCAAGTCGGGCGCCATTTTGGCTGGTCCCCGCGGTGTAGGCCTCTCAAAGGATAGTCTGATATCCTGCATTTTTGGAGCTTCTGGAAGACGAGGTTTCCTGTTTTTTCGCCCCATTGTGTCTTCTGAGTGAGGGTAGTTGTCGCTCAGCGTGTTTCGGAGTCTGTTTTCCGTATTTAAAACGTTTTTTTTGAGATTCTGGGACGGAGCTCTGTTTAAACACGTCTTCTCTGGTGCTCGGTTGGCCACGCCCCCCTCCTACACTTTTTTTAAGCATCAGAGTTACTAAACTAACATGCATTGGGAACAGACTTGAGGAAACCCTTCAGTTCCACCTGGTGCCAGCCAGATAATTTTCTGGGGGGAGCAGTTGCGTTATTACCCCCCCCCCCTTTGGGTCCGCCAATGGTTTGTGCTCTTTCATCCTTTTAGCTCAGAACTCATGCTTCAACCTACCATAGAAACTGTCATAAAACAGGTCTGCTATGAGAAGTGTTAGGTATCTGTGTATTAATTCTAGTTAATCAGCCAGATGATGCAAAAATATGTCCTAAGCAGTGAGTGTTCAGTGTCTCCCTGCTTTTGTTTAAAATTGTGTTTTTATCAGTAAGGGTGTCTGTAGAAAATGCCTCTTCCATGTCAAGCTGAGAATTCCTGGGCAATTGTGGAAACAAGTTCTAGGATTCACTGTGCTCAACGTTCTACTTGTGATATAAACACACAGAGATAACTCGGCACTCAAATTCCCAAAACTTTTTTAAAAGCAACAAGGACTATAGTATTTATCAGCTAAAATATATACATAAAAAATAATAAATGAAAAACTACCTGCACAGTATCCCAAATCCCTTTGCATACCTTAATAACGGAGGTTGTTAGTACTACTGCGATGACCATTAAAATATAAGGTCACCTGCTGCATGACGGTATACCTACACTAACAAATCACCATGCTGCTTTTAGCTAAAAGGCAACATCTCTATTTTGACCGAAGTGAGTATTTTGATTAACTCCTGCGAAACCGTGTTAATTTTGGCTGCAAATTTCTATTTACTTTTAGTCGTCGTCGCTTTTAACTAAAAAGCTGTATTTTCTCAATCGGAATTGTTTTAGTTTTAGTCGACTAAATCTAAAAAATTTTAGTCTACTAAATCTGACGAAAATTATTAGTCGACAAAATTAACACTGCTTCAGAACTAATTAACCTTTAATCAAAAGTCTAAATCATGATGACTGTGCTCATTTGCAAGTCAAGCGAGAATTTTCTTGGAATTACTGTAGCAGTAAGGACATTTATGAAGGTCTTACTTGAGATATGCAGATGATGTACAACAGTGGCCGATTACATTTATTGAGGACAAAATGATTATATAAAGTGCAGACAATGGCAAAACAAGTGGTCAATAGAATGCTCATCACATTATAATTTTCATATTTAAGAAATAACTGAAAAATAAATGTGGAGAGGATGAAGGAAGAAGGTAAAGATTATCTTACAGTCAGTTCGGTTAACAGTGAAAGAAGGACCCATTTTGCATGAACAGGATTGCCAAGTTTGAAGGGGCTGCAT